CCGACAGCTTAGTGACCTCGCACAAAAAATGAGGAAGTGGAGACTTCGAGAGGCAGCCTCTGATCATTGGTCAAATAAAGACGAGTCAGGAGATTACGAAGCACATGAACTTGTGGAGGAAATGATGATTGCCACCAATAAGGAAATAGCTAAATTTCTCTATTCACAATATAGAATGATAACACCTTTGCGGACCCAACTTCCCCCCAAAGAGCACAGATTAAGTAGCTGGCTCAAACAATTCGGGAAATTTATAAAGTTGTCCTTGTTTCCACACGCCGTTTATTCTGATGAAGAACTGCAGAGAATGACAAAAGATGAGGGCATTTCAGAATTGCCAAAACTCATGGTGCAAAAGTCCGTGTGGTTTGATCTTTTTAGTGCTGCAGAATCACTAGACAAAGTCAAGCTTCGCCAGCTGACTTTCAATGAGAAGGATCACTCTCAGTTGGCCATCGCCAAAAGGCAATTTGAGTGTATTAAACAGAAGGCTCGATACGTCTGCGAAGGAGATCCAGATGAAGCGAAGGGGATGCCTGGCCACTTCTCTCAGAGAATGGACCTCTATACACACTTCACGTCACCTATTCGACGATACATTGATATAGTGGTACACAGACTCGTCTTGAATTTGATATCTGAGCGTAGCACGGGAGCACCCTCGACGGATCGAGTTGCTGAGATCTGTCGTCGTTCCACGTTCGCTAGTGCGAATTCCAAACTCTTCAAAAAGGCATGTAATGAGGTTCACCTGGCAGCAAAACTCAGGGAAAAAAGCCACGAGACAACAGCAGTCGTTTCGACGATCGAAGATAGGAAAATAAGGCTGGAAATTACAAAACAAGAATACGATCAGGTCGCGAAAAGACAGAGAGAAATCAAACTGAGCACTTTACAACCATTTAGTGCTAAACATGGTGGCTCCGAGGAAATTGTACTTACTTGGAAGCTGAGACTTTACATTGCTCCGGAGGGAAACATCACGGAGAAACTTGATCGTGAAAGAGAAAAGGTTTCCATCCTTTTATCTCAGGAATTGCCAGAACGGGAAGTCTATTACTTTCCAGGAGAAAGGTGGGAAAAGCTTTTGAAAGCACTTCAACAAGAAAACTTTGAACTCGTTACCTTGCTAATTAGAGAGATGGATAAGCTTACCAGACCCCAAGAACAGAATAACTTTCACAATGGTGGAAAACTTGGGTCAAATATGGAGCATACCCATGAGAAACAGATTTCTCTGAAGAAATTTGATACTGTAAATATTCAGCTCACTGCACATACGACACACGGGGTTTTCCACCCAGAAATTCAACTCTTCAAGATTACCCCTGGTGTCCACATTTGCGTCGAGCACCGCAAATATCCAAGGGAATGTTTTACTAACGCACCATGCTATCAAATCTCTGGGAAGTACTCGACTTTAGCTGATTACATCGCAGCCTGGGAACCCGTACTTGATTTGGAAGCTGCAACAGTGGCTGTGAACGAGAACGATGAATTAACCATACACAATTTGGATGTCAGGTGGAAGA